CTATGCAACTTTGCTAACAATTGCTAATAAACTTTAATTAAAAAAAAGGATTGAAATCATATAGAGTATGTTTTCTGTTCATAATATAATTAAAATGAAAATCAGGGTCATAATGATTTATGGGAAATGCCCAAATATTTGGAAATTAAGCAACATACTTCTAAATAACTCATTGGTCAAGGAAGAGATATCACTGAGGAAACTGAAAAAAAATATTTTGAACCAAATAAAAATGAAAGCATAGCATATCAAAATGTGTAGAGTGAAGATGAAGTATTGATTGGAAGGAAATGTATAGCTTTAAATGCATACACTAGAAGAGAAGAAAGGTCTAAGGCAAGAGTTCTAAGCTTCCCTTATTAACAACTTAGAAATAGAAGAGCAAATTAAACCCAAAGTATGGAGGAAGGAAAAACTAAAGAAAATTAATAAAATGAAAAATCGATAAAACTGAACATCGATTCTTTGAACAGAAACCATAAAATTGATCAACCTCTAGTCAGATGACTCAGGAAAAAATAAAAGAGAGAAGATGCAATTTACTAATATCAGAAATAAATGAAAGAACATCACCTTCGATGCTCAGGCCTGCAGGGACAATGGACATCAGGCATTGTGTGCTCAGATCAATAGGCCCAGCGTGTGTGCAAGTGTGCAAATAGGGCAGTCCAGGGCACAGTGGGGCCCAGAGAAGTTGGCCAAGGTTGGAGCTGGGACTTGGGAGAAAGGAGAGGCTCTGCTAGGGCACAGCATAGGGATTGTCATGGGAAACTGGCTGGCTCCATTCATCCTCAGACGCCACAAATATTAAATCTCCTTTCTGAGAACTGTGGGTATTCAACCAGTTAAACTGTCAGCAAATGATTACAAAATAAAAGTATACACAGAGACATTGTAACAAAGGATAACATAAGTTATGAGGATTCTTCAAGGAAGTTAGTCTTGGTTTTAAAAACTTGCAACATTGCAAAGCAACTAACCTTAAGCTTTGAAATAGAAAATAAATTTAAAGATTTCTGTATTTGTTAGAAAATACCATTATCTTCATAGGAAGCTTTGGATGAACCAATTATTAATGAGAAAGGCAATTTAAAATTATTTTTTCTTTTTAATTGAAGAGGGTATTATGCTAAGTGAAATAAGTCAGACAGAGGAAGACAAATACCATATGGTCTCATTTATATGTGGAATCTAAAGAACAAAATAAACAAACAAACAAAACAGAAACAGACTCAGTGACACAAAACTGATTTTTGCCAGATGGGAAGGGTTTTGGGAGGCTGAGTGAAAGAGATAAAAGGATTAAAAAGTACCAATTGGTAGTTACAAAATAGTCATGGGGATGTAAAGTAATGCACAGGGAATATAGTCAGTAATATTGGAATAACTGTGTGGTGCCAGGTGGATACTAAACTTATGGGGGATCACTTTGTAAATTATATAAATGTCTAATAACTATTCTGTACACCTGAAACTGATGTAAAATAACAGTGAATGTCAACTGTAATTGAAAAATAAATACTAAAAAATATTCATTTTAAAAAAATGAATTGTATGCAAATCATGATGCCTCTTTCAGTTTCTTATACAACTTCAGCAAGTTATTGGTAATGTCAGATGAAACATTAACATTTCATTGTATAAATAAATATTCATTTAAAATTAAATTCAGCCATACATGAAACTGATTTTATGGAGAGTTAAATCTTTTAGAAAAAATGCAGTTAGAGATATGAAACCATAAAGCTTTTTTCTTTAACAACATTTTATTACTTATGAAATATAATAGGGGTATTAGTAGTAGTGAATAACAACATTAAGCTACAAATTGCAAAATTGTATGGTGATATAATTTTATATAATATAATGAAAAATAATAATTTATTATGTATAAAATATTTTTAGAAAAATATTTAACTCCATACAAATGAATCATTTCATCCATGCAAGAATAATCATTTCTAGATGTATGAAATTTATATTTTGAACTAATTGATCAGAAATGTGTCTCAGTGTTGTCGCCATCTATAAAATACTCTTCCCAGCTCTACCAACAGTTGCATTGGCAGAATAACCCTTCTCAAAATTAAAGATTACTAAAAATTAATTGCAATCTTACATTTGCCAAGAGCAACTGATTTCACTTTCAATTATGTGAATTGAAAATGAAGTTGCTAAAAGTATAGATTTTGATGACCTAATGAATGAATTTACAGAAAAGCAAGTCATAAAAACCTTACAATCAATCGTAACATTACATTACTACATTATTATTCTTAATTGTATTATATAAAATTGTATCAACATATAATTTGTAACTTTATGTTGTTATTCACTACTCCTAATACCCCTAATTATATTTCTTAAGTAATAAAATGTTCTTATAGAAAAAGGTCTTATGTTTTGATATCTTTAACTGCACTTTTTTCCCTGCCCTTTGAACAAGGGGTCTCATATTTCTATTTTTCCCTGGGTGCTACAAAATATGTAGCCAGCTCTGATATGCACTTTGATATGCCCATCTTGGATGCTATAGGTGCAAAATCAGGGGACAGACTATCATGATGTGTCCATGTGGAATGTACATGCTAGCCTTTATTATGAATACCAGTGCACCTGTAAAAACAGCAACAAAGCTGGCAGTTGCAAAGATAAAGACATATGA